CATTTTCCAATATCACCCTGGGACTCCTTTCTGAGTGTGGTTTGGCCCACTCGGCGTCAATTGTAGACTCATCGAGGACGCCCTTATACTTCGTCGGCTCGAGATTGTTCTTCATTACGCTCGGTGCATGAACTTCTGAATAGGCTTTCGTTGCATCCCCACCTGCATGCTTCAAGATGACTGTTCGCGAGGTGGATTAGATATTGTCCTGAGACAATGCATTTGTCGGTGTACGCACTTGCAGATCCTCCAGGATGCTCTTCCAAAAAGTCGGTCACATCCCACACCTGCTTGTCGATCACAACCCAGCAGTCTTCGGGCGTTTTGTGCTCTGAGATCTGCTGAGCAGAGAGAAGTTTTCGGTCTGCCATTGCTGTCAGATGGTATAAGCGTGCCGGTTTGTGAATTAGTCGAAGAAATCGAGGCCGATATTAGTCGACGCCGGGCCTGTATGTGAAATTATGAAGGAGGATTAATGAGATGGATACTAAATAGAAGCAGCCACCCACAGCGAGCTAAATACTCAGCAAGGGTCCGGGGCGGGGATGGCCATCGGCAATGTCCCCGGACTTACCCCGGACTGTACGGGCTAAAGTTCCCCGAGCCTGATGCTCAAGCATCCAGCTTCCTATACAAAGTGCTGTGTGCTGTATTGACGCTTCTGTGCTTGGACTCCTGGTATTTGTTTGATGATTTGAGGACCACCATGTGTTCTAGATTGCCATTCCAGCTGTTTACGATGTAATCCCGCGCAATCAGCTCCACGCACGTTTGTCATACAAAAAGGTCAAAAGACCAACGATATTTCAAAAACAACACATGAAGTTGAAATTCAGTCTGACCTTACACAACATCCGTCGTGTGAAGACATCTAAACCCTGAAGTGACTTAAATCGGCAAAGTACCGACTTCCAAGGTTGGACGACCACGGATTTCTCCCCGAGCGGCCTAGAAACAGCCGCCTGTATTTTAAGGCATAAGTCTCTCACCAGCCACAGGGGAAGCCTCAGCCCTAGTGTGGCTGAACATTTCCGACCGTGAGTCAACACACATTTGTGCTCGACAGACAGCATTTCATCAACACACTAACGAGGATCTTTACTCTAGCTATCTGATGCCAATCAAGTCTGCTGGCAGCTGTGTTTTCAAACTTCTCGGCCGCAATATCACCTCGACTGTGAGGTCGACAGGGATAGATAGACCCGTCTCGTTAGGTTTGTTTTGTGTCCAAATATAAGCCTATTAACTAGTCAAGCTATGACGAGTCTGGGTGGTCCTGGGAAATTTGATCTGACTCATTTCGTAGGTTTTTATACGGGTCACAGCTTGACTGGTGTGTCTTTGGTAAATTCCATATCTGCTGGAAATCCCAGAACAATCTCCACAGCTGGAAGACAACAGACCACATTAAATATGGCTGAACCTAAACCGCTCCGATACGTTGATGTATGTCGCCCTTTCTTAACAGCCTCACCCTTTGAAAGGCATATGCATTTCATGACTAACTGCGAAACACTAGATTGGTATCAACTTGAGTGACCCCGTTTTCCGCGGTGAATATCACGGAAAACAGGCCCATGAAGACGATCTCGATGACGTTATCCAGCGTGCTCGGGATGTAGGCTGCTCAAAGTTCATGGTAACTGGCTCAGATATTGTAGAATCGAAGCACGCTGTCCAGGTCGCCAGCAAATACCGTATGTTTCGAACTTGCCAGGACGTTCCCTTTCCGTATTAACAACCGGATTCTGCAGCGGGCTTTTGTTACGCAACCGTTGGTGTGCATCCATGTCAAGCAAAGCTCTTCGACGAGCACCCAGGAGGTCCATCAAAAATGCTGGAGGAGCTCCGCGCTCTAGCAATTGAATCCACACAATCCGGCCACGCCGTCGCATTCGGTGAAATTGGCCTTGATTATGATCGACTGTTCCTGAGCCCCAAGGAGCCACAGCTCAAATATTTTGAGGCCCAACTAGACCTGGCTGTTGAGATTCAGCTCCCTTTATTCCTCCACTCCAGAGCTGCAAGCGAGGACTTTGAGAGACTCCTTGCCCCAAGGCTTGCCAAGCTTCCCAAGCGGGGACTTGTGCACAGCTTTACGGGGACAATGGATGAAATGAACAGGATGATTGCGCTGGGTCTTGACGTCGGTGTTAACGGGTGCAGTATGAAGACCGAGGAGAATCTGGAGGTTGTCAAAGCTATTCCACTAGACCGGCTCCAAATTGAAACCGATGGGCCATGGGTATGTATTGCTCTGAGCTCTGGTCGGATCTGTCGTGACTAACTATCTCCTAGTGTGAAATCCGCCCATCTCATGCATCTGCAAAGCACCTGAGCGGTGCACCGGATCTGCCAAAGGCTATGAAGAAGGAGAAATGGCAGAAGGGGTGTATGGTGAAGGGCCGGAACGAGCCTATTGCCATCGCTCGTGTTGCTCATGTTATTGCTAGCGTCAAGGGCATCACTGTGGAGGAAGTTTGCGAAGCGTAAGATGTTGATTTGTCCTGATGCTCGGCTCCATGCTAACTAATTTTTCTTTTTAGTGCCTGGAACAACTCTATCAGAATGTTTGGGTTGGGCGAGGATTCGCCTTGATTTTTGATTATGCCGTAGATAGATGATAAGAACAATGTATAAATGCCCCGTGGCATACTATCACAACATAGTTGACTTAAAGGTTCTGCTTCGACAGTCTTGTTGTATGCACCATACCTGTCTCTCAGTGGCAATAATATCAATTTCTGTAGAGTTACGAATATATGAAAAGAATTATTGAGGGCCCTGTCGTGATTATCTAATTGCGACACCCACCTGATGGATGGCGGATAGGTAGGCACTTCAACCCACCCGTGGACGTATTCATTGTTGGTTCAATATGATATCGCCAGCGAAAAACAGATTCTACTTCGTGATACTCGATCTCATTGAAGAGTCATAATCATTATTTGGGTATTATTATATATCACAGAAAGAGTGTCATGTAAAAAGTCTAAAGGTCATGAGCCATTATAATGTCTATATCGTATGCCTCCATATCTTCTCGAGAATCATAATCTGTCACATAGTTTCCCGGATAATCCACCAATTCGCCATTATTTGAGAAAAGCATGGCATCATGATCACCGCATGAAGTCTGCGAAGACCCAATTGTTGAGGATAATGTATTGATGGATGTTTGAGTCCATTCCCCGATGTCTGGAAAGCTTGTCTCGCTGAGATTGTCCAAAAGCTGATCATCAGACTCGCTATTCAACAAGCAGACGTCACTTTCTTCATTCTCGTTGCGATGTAGTGTTTGAATAGAACGAGTCAGTGCCGAGTTTCCGCTGTCGAGCTGTAGCTGATCCGTAGATATGCGACGCACGGCCTCGTCTGACACAGCCAGTCTGTTTGATAGGCACTCTGTAGAGAACACTGAAGCTCGTCTTTTGGTGGGTTTTATCTTGGGGACAGCTTCCTGGGCGACACGCCAAAGTGATGAGAGGACCGCAGCCCTGAAACTTAGAAATTGAGGTTGTATCGTCGTGTCATCCGTGTGGTGGGAGCGAGTGAGCTCTAACAAATCTGCTAATTTAGTCTTGATGGATGGATCATTGTTTCCTGCCAGCATAGACGATATGGCTTTCGTGATTATTGGAATTGTTACCCCTCGCTGGTTCATCGCCTGGGTAGGATGAGTACATGATTTTCATAACTGGCACTGAAAACTCACATCTCGATATCCAGGATCGAACACCGCGGGAGAGATACCTGCGAGGCTCTTGATTGTGACCTGCTGTGGGACACGAATTGTGGGATCTTTGATTGAGTTGGAAATGAACAGTCTTTGAACTCCCAGGTTGAACAGCCGGAAGAGTTCCTCGCATGATGGGTCTGATTCATCTCCAGATATGCAAGAAGACTGTGATCCTGGAATTTCAGTAGGATCCTCACGTTGTAGGATGGCGACGTCTGCCATTGTCTCCAGAAGCCGAGGACTGCAAAAAGTCGATGATTCTTGTCCAAGAAGACCAACCTTCAATTTGAAATATTCCTGGACTTGTGGTATACGCCTGGGCTGAAAGATATACTCCAGCTGAACGTCAATTGAAGCCAAGGTAGCTACTGGTACACCGGTGGGAGGACGCGCATCTGGGGGATTGGTCATCGAACTGGGCAAAGCCCGACCCGTTGTGCTGTTCCGCATTTTACACTCTCTGCGCAGACCAAGTTCGAGGCAGTGAAAGCCAGAAGTGTCAATGCAATATTCACGTGCACCCGTCTTGAGCTCAACTGAGAATCCCACATCCGACCAGATCTGGAGCAAGGAATAGTCAGTTTCCAATTTGGGAAATATTGTCTCGCACAAACCTCCATATCACAGAGTTTGCCTCTCAACTTTGATACGAATGCGGCTGCTTCATTTCGATCCCAATTTCCCCTGACGAAGAAGCGCAACTTCAGCTCTGGTGCCTCCGTTATCCATACACCTTCAAGATTTGGCAAGTGTGAGACGTCAATCGGTGTTTGGGGGGTTTCATGTCTTGGTGGTTGGCTGAAATGAGCCGATGCGGCCAGACCAAGCTGTAACTTTGAATCTCGGATTTGTAGAGTGGATCCACCCAAGTCGAGCTTTTGTGCCATTGTGGAATAAACTCAGCACCAAGGCATTATGTATTATTTTTGAGCCCCGCGACAGTCATTTAAATGAGCAATGTGGGGATTGGTGATGGTGTTGGAGCGAGAAGGAATATTGGAATGGGTGTGGTTATGACCTTACCAGACTTTTAGTGGACTGAAAAGGCATTTACTACATCGGTAAAATTTATGGACAGTGCACATGACTTTCAAGTCCCTTGGCCTGAGAATGTGTGCATCCAATTTTTGAAGATCTGTTCGATTTTACTGTTGATATCATTTTGAGCTTTACATTTGTGCCATGAGCTTAATTGCAAAGGTAGGTTCTTTTCTTTGGATCTTGGTTGAAATGGATATTGTTGATGGGCTTTGATGACGGCTTAGCAGCAACACATCTCAGAATAGCATATGTGATTTAGCTTCCATTTTCCCTTGTGATGCCATAGCAAAGTATTCAACAGATCTGCTCCATCACACTGTTCTCTTTCCTCGCTGTACAAGATATCCAGCATCTGAGCGCCGATCAATCGCATGAATCCTTCCATTCCACTGTTGTCAGAGGTGATCAGTTCAGAAGTTGCGGGTTATATTAAATCATCTTAATCTGGAATCCAACTCTCGCGAGGATGTTCTACATGTAGACACCGGGTGGATAAACTACGGGCATATAGCCTCCCCTGTCTCTATTGGCACTCCACGGTTGACATGAGCGAACATAAATGCTGCGACCTTTGCAGTACATTTTCATGACAGTGCTTTTCAAAGAAGAACATGCTACCGGGCTTCATTGGTTGAAAGATATTCTTCAATGTGAATATACCGGTAGATGGGTCTTTCAAGATCCAATGGAATGTAGCATTGGAGGTGCTAAGACTGTATCGGAAACGTTCAAACGGGAAGCGAACACACGGACACTAACACTTTATCCCAGTTTTCTTTCATATTTCTTCATCTTTTTCGAGGTGTCGACAGTTGACACCCCAGCCATCAAGCGCCGCTATACAGTCTGGAGTCTACCAGCTGGAGAAAGTTAGTGTACAGCCGAGGTCGAAGTTCAAGCTTACAGTTTCCTTGAAGAGGTGCAGCCCGTCAAAGGTGGGCGTGAATAGTTTAGTTTGGGCTCGATATGCCAACCACTTCTTTTTATAAGGTGCTGCGGCATATCAACTTGAGCTTCTATTGCATGACTGGAAAGGCGCAGAACGCAGAACGATTCTCCGAAACCTGGCGCCGACAATGAGAGATACAACTCGAAGCTTCATTTGCGATATGGTCCTGTCAGACAGCCGGCCAGACACCCAAAAGGCTCTTTACGATATCAACATGTTTTGCATGGCTGGTAAAGAGCGCACTGTAAAACAATGACAGGCTCTCATGGAAGGGGCTAAATTTCAAATTGAAAGAATTATCGGGCTAATTGGCCTTGTTCAAAGCATCGTTGGAGCTAATTTATGTGAACAGGCTTTGCTTCCAGGGTTGGCTTTGTGCTTTTCTCAAGAAACGAGATGTTTTTGCTTTTTCAAAACTGTTAGAAAGTTTGATCGATTGCCTCTAAGAAAATATATACCGATGGTATATTCTTTCATGCTTTGATCTTATGCCTTTTTCTTCCTACTAAGATACAAGATATAGAATATGCTGCAAGGTAGTTAGTTTACAGAGTTTGCCTAAAGTAGCACCTGAAAAAGATAAACAAAGTGAGACACGACCTTAGGAAAACCTCTGGTGGCTTGTACATACAAGAATATTCGGCTGTCCTTTCTGGTGGTCTTTCTAGTTGCTTTTTCTACATCTTATGTTATTGTAGATGACGACTTTTCTTTGTATAACTGGGACATGCAGTGGAGCACATATGCACGTGGCAAACCGTTGTTATCTCTTATCGTACCAAGAAGTCCTTATCGATAAGTAATCACGTGCGGCCCCCATCCAGGTGTCCTGAAAGTAACCGTTACACTTCCAACTATCTACGGTCAGCGATGCCAGGGGATGAGTTCTCAGAGGATCACCTGTGTGCCCAGAATGGCCAGGATGAATATGAAGCCCAAGAACTGTTGTCTGCCTCAAGTGAGGAGCAGGATCTAGCCTTCCACCCGGAACCTCTCCCGTCGCCGATCCCCTCACGTAACGCGACAAATGGCGAACGCCACTCCTCAATCTCCCAACCTGCGGTCGATGGACAGCGTCGCACACCCCGTACCATGAATCGAGTTCGATTTGACATAGAGGAAGAGCCCGAAGACCCCAATCGCATTTCCATTGAGCGTGCTCCTAGCCCAGACGACAGCCCAGACGACACGCTATGGCTGGAGGATGAGGACTATGAACTTGGCAACCGGGGCCCAGGAATGCACCACAGTGGACAATCAATTCCTCTTCTCACAAATATTGAAGCACCTAGTGTGACACTTGCGACATCGGACGATTTCTTCCCCGAAGAGCATCTCGAAGATGCGCGGCCACGGAGTGGGATGAAAATGGCGTTCATGAACATGGCCAACAGCATTATTGGGGCTGGAATCATTGGGCAACCTTATGCGCTTCGTCAGGCAGGCATGGCACTGGGGATTTTGCTGCTGACTGCCTTGACCATCACAGTGGATTGGACCATTCGATTGATTGTCATCAACTCCAAATTGAGTGGAGCGGATTCGTTCCAGGCGACTATGCAGTACTGCTTTGGGAAAAGTGGTCTCATCGCGATCTCCATTGCGCAGTGGGCATTTGCATTCGGCGGCATGGTCGCATTCTGTATTATTGTTGGCGATACCATTCCCCACGTTCTAGGTGCTTTGTTTCCGTCTCTTAGGGAGATGTCCTTCCTATGGCTCCTCACAGATCGCCGGGCTGTTATTGTTATCTTTGTTTTAGTTGTTTCATACCCATTGTCTTTGTACAGAGACATCGCCAAGGTCAGATCTTTCCTTCCTTACTACCTGTTAGAAACTGACGGTCTGGTAGCTGGCGAAAGCATCTGCCTTGGCATTGGTCAGCATGATAGTCATTGTCGTCACAGTCATAACCCAGGGCTTCCGGGTCCCGCCTGAATCGCGTGGAGAAATCAAAAGCCACCTCATATTCAATACTGGCTTTTTTCAGGCTGTCGGGGTTATTTCCTTTGGTAGGTTTTCGCTATCCCTGTCAATAACCGGAAAGTCTGCTAACAAGTTGTAGCTTTTGTTTGTCGTATGTTACTTTTTATCCTACTGATATCACAATCGCTAATTTCCACAGACCATAACAGTCTTCTGATCTACGGCTCATTGAAAAGACCAACACTCGACCGTTTCACCCGAGTCACACATTACTCTACAGGAATATCTCTAGTGATGTGCCTAGCAATGGGTATCGCAGGGTTCATGTCCTTCGGGTCTAAAACACAGGGAAATGTTCTGAACAACTTTCCATCAGACAATATCGTCGTCAACATCGCACGATTGTACAACCTTCCGATTGACCTTAATATGGAGTTTCTTGACTGACTTTGACTAGTTGCTTTGGCCTCAACATGTTGACCACACTACCACTCGAGGCCTTCGTCTGCCGTTCCGTTATGATAACCTACTACTTCCCCGACGAACCGCACAACCCCGTTCGGCACGTTATCTTCACAACGGCGCTGGTGGTGACTGCAATGGTGCTGTCCTTGATAACTTGTGACCTGGGAAGTGTGTTTGAGCTCATTGGCGCGACCAGTGCTGCTGCTCTAGCCTATATCTTCCCTCCTCTCTGTTATATCAAGCTTAGCAGTGCTACGCGGCGAGAAAAGATCCCGGCGTATTTATGCATTTGCTTTGGGGTGGTTGTGATGGGTGTCAGTATAGTGCAGGCGGTCGTCAAGATCATTCGAAGTAAGTTTGCGATTGGACCAAGTCGAATGGTAATTTGGTCGCACCCTCATCACATATACTAATATCAAACTTTGTCTTTGCAGATGATGGCGAGGCTCATAGCTGCAGTGCCCCTTAGAGAGGAATTGTTCGAGGACTTTCCACAGATGGTGGCCATGCTTATGTATACACTCAGTGTGCCCAAGAAGTCTCTTCGGGCCGTGTTTCCGTGTACATTTGTATCTACTATCTACTTTGAACAAATAGCCTTTGTGTATCATATACTACAATATTTTTATTCAAAACTTGCTATATGCCGTTGATTATGTAGGGGTGAATTGCGATGTCTCGGGATAGGTAGCAGGTACGTCGGTAGCTACTGTGTGTCTAGGTAGACAGTATGTACATATATATAATCTCAAGTCAGACGAAGTACGATGAAGCACGTGTACACTGTCCTCGTGCTAATGACAAGGCATGTGCGCTTTGCGGTTTTGGATTCGCAATCCATCGGCCTCGCTTCTCCTCTTTTACAACTCCGCTCCCTGCATCTCAGATCTCAACGATTATTGTCAATGGCTCTATAACTATATCTATAGGGCTTCACCATCACGTGGATGTTTCCACGTGCTCAAAATCAGCTCCCACGTGGACATGCCAATACTAGGCCACAAATCCTTGAGGGAAGGTCCGACTGAGAAGTCGAGACCTCTGAAAAGACCCCTCGAAAAGACCATTGAAACGATCTCCAAAAGGACGCTTCACATTGTTGCCCAAGTCACTTCAACTGTTTGTTCATTCACAGACGCATGTTTGATCCCAACACGCCCTGATCGTTCCTTTATTTACCCTCTTCCCATCTTCTCTTTTATTCCTTCTATCACTCCTCTCTCTTTAGCTTCTTCTCTCCTTTGGAACCCCTGGTTTTCACTCTTGTTCGGGTGCTTCGCACAGCTCTGCTTGGTGTCTCTTTCGCTTTGCAGAGTCCCACGTCCTCGGGGCATCCACCAATTGCCGTCTGTTCCTTGGGGACCTTCTTTGGCTTTTTTTCAAGCCTTGTATTGTCGTGTCCCCTTTTCCAAGGGCAACTGAGGTCACTTCGACCTCCAAATAAAATCTCTCTGGGAGACACCATCCCCACCCCCTTCCTCATTCATTCTTCTCTCACCGTCCGTGCTACATTTTCCACCCACTGTTGATCATTTTACTATCATTCAAACTTCGCTCGCCACGCGAAGTGCACCTGCAAGATGGCTGAATCTGCGGAGCAGCTCCGCAAAATGCAAATTCTTCAAATGGTGATATTTAGTCTCTGACTTCTGCTCTGATATTTTTAACTGACGGTGTCAACAGGCGGACCTAGGAACCGCTCGACGTGAAATGATTTCCACTGCCGATTTGAAGAAGGAGACTCGCACACAGCTTGCTAATATTGAATCCAAGCGATATCTCGATCAAAGAGATGAAGCTCAATTGAGCAAATGGGCAAGTGAGTGCTGCATGAGAAACGATTCCAGACCCCTCTGACTTCATTCTAATCTTTCTCGCAGATCTACACACTGAGATCACAGATACTCGTGGCATGGAAGAACTCGATGACATAAATTCCGGCCAGTCTCACCGGGCTAATTTGCACGCCATGTTGCATCCCAATGGAAGTCAACCGCGCACTTATGCCAATCATCCTTATCCTCTTCCATCTACAGGTCGTGGTGGCGGTGTCATGGGAAAGAGAGGACGAGGTGGCTTTGTTGCCCCTCCCCCTACTGCTCTCCCTCCTGCGCCTACAAGGTAAGAAATCGATATACTCTGCCATTCAAGAAATTCCAATTGACATATGAGAAATTCCAGAATCTCCATCCATGCAACTGTCGGTCGCTCAGGACGCCCAGGACGCCCAGGACGCCCAGGACCGCGCGGTCGCTCAACCACGATGTCGGCCAGCATTCATTTAGATCCTGCGTTGAACTGCAATAACGATGACAGCGATGCTCGTGACCGAGGAAGGGGACGTGGACGAGGCAAAGGCAAGGGCAGAAGTAACGCCCAAGAGCAGGTTCACTGTAAGTTTTGATGGCGGGTACAGAATAAGAATGCAGCTGACCACGTTTTTAGTCCCGTCCGCCCCTATCAGGGTCCAGCGGCAGCCTCAAGCGTAAGTGATGAAACTTCCTTTGCTGATATTTCTATGCTAATGTTTTGATCAGCGTCGACTTTGCCGCTAGAATCTCTCAGCCTGGGGACTTCATGTCCGTAGTTCAGTCCCGCCGAGCAACCGAAATGTACAAAAAGCCTATCGATACAATCATCTCTACACCAATGCAGATGGCTGCTCTTGCGCCAAAGCTCAAGTCGCCCAACGAGTCAAAGGTCAATGTGCCTCTGGGCGGCACACCGAAGAAAGGAACGGCCACCGTTATTGCACCCTCGAAGCCTGGACCCTCGCCAATGGCAGCATTAAAGCCGCCATCTCATGCTGTTCTTATTGAGAAGACCACATCATTCAAGCCCGCCAAGACCCAGGATACTTCAACCAAGATTTCTCTGCCACATATTGGACCCTATCTAGTGGAAACACCCTCGCCATTACCTCGCGTTGTTCCTATTGACAAGACTGCGTCTTTCAAGTCCAGGAAACCCCATCCTAGTACATCCAACCCTACTGAGCAGCATAAGAAGCCGCCTCCAGTGGTCGCCGTTGCTGCAGATGGGATTCAATGGAAGATTTCGCCTGGCGAACAGCCACGAAAGAAGGGCGCAGCTTCTTCAAGCAAGGAGGCAGTCTTGTCTGAACGCTCCATCCCCCTCACCGAGGACAAGAAAACACCCGTAGTCAAGGTGACTCATGCCAAATACAGCAAGCGGGGTATTTCTCCTGGTAGCCAGAAGATTAAAACGAACCAGAAAGTTCAGTCTCAAGATCTGCTCAGCGATGATGACTCCCCGGTGAATGCAGCAACAAAAGTTCCTCGTCCTTTGAAAACAGTGGCCATCCAGAGTCCAGGTACTGCAGAATTGGCAGGTCTCCAGTTTGCGACGAAAGCCAGCGAGTCGGTGTCAGCCAAGAGCATTGATGAAGTCATTTTCCCGAAAATAACGAACAATGACATCCCAGAAGCCCATTCTCATCGCAATGATCAGAGTCAGGAAGATGACAGTTCTGGTGTCTCCAATCAGCAGATTATTGCAGAACTTCGCGATATACGCGAATACATCCGTGCACCCCATCGTAACTTGGCGACTACTCGGGATATTGAACGCATCCTTGAAGCTAAATTGCTCCAGCTAGTAGCTACCCCATCTGCATCAGCTACAGCACCTACAGCACCTGCAGCCTCAGATATCGGCACTCGGCTAGATGACCTGGCTGCACTTATAGAATCTTTTTCAGCATTGCATCAACGAACTAAGGCTGGTGAAGCTTCTTCGGCTGCCCGGCGCGATGTTACCCCCTTTGAGGGACACCGATCGCCGCCTCCCCCTTCCTCCAGTTCGAACTCACCTCCCTCTGCTGATAAACGCGCGCACAAGTTACGTGTGCCCGGCCTCTCACCGACCGGAAGTGAAAATTCCGACATCATCTCGCACTTCGAATTCCTCCAGGTTTCGGAAAAACTTGCTGCGCCGCTGCAACCACAACGTGCAGTTCCTACTCCGACTAGTCGTCCTCTGAAAATTCCCAAGAAGGCCAACACATCCGATGCGTCCGTTCAAGTCACTCCTGCTCTGGGATCGCGTCCAAAGGAGGCGGCAAAAAAGCCACTGACTCTTAATGATTCTATCTTTGCAGGACCTGTCGGTTCTGTCACTTCGGTCCCTAAGGTCACGGAACCCAATGCGAGGCGGTCCCAGACCATGGCCGGGGCTTTGAGTTCAAACCACCCGAACATTCCCAGCCAACAGGATGAAAGAGCCCATTCAACCGGCGTTCGCACAATTGGCCCTGCACCATACAAACCCCGTGTGATTGGTCCTGCTCCCTCGGTGTATGAGCAAACGACGTTGCGTGACCTGCCAAGGGCTCAAAGTCGTACTGTCTCCGTCCAGCAGGCAGCCATGGATACTCGCATCGAGAACCTCTCCTCTGTGAATGTTGCAAGCGGTACCCCGTCCAGTGGCACAGCTTCTGAGCAAGCTGCGGGTCGGCTATTTTCAATGCCAGACCCTGCGACTATTCAGCAGCCCCAAGTGAAGACTGATGGTTCCATCCTTATCAGCCGTTCTCACCGCTATTAAACGGCATCTAATTTGCGGAGTCTGAGTTTCAGTAGACTTGCTCTCCTACTGGTCTCAGCCAGCTCTAATTGTCTATGATTTCGACATCGGTGTTCTTTTGATCCCCTCTGTGGCCCAGTTGAGCTTTGAGATCGTTTGCTTTTTCTGGCTGGATGGTTCCCTGTTTTCAGTTGTTCAAACGTTGAAGAGCAAACGGTCGATGATCGTTTAACAGGCTTTGTATGATTAATGAAATAATCAAAACTTTAGTTAACTAATTGTTTTTCTTTTCTCCCGTTTTGATGCAAATGTAGGCGGCCTATTTTACAGTGCTGTTAAGTCAGGAGAAAGGCTGCCGAGTTCCGATCTTACACAAGTCCCTTCAATATCTTAGTGTCTTAGTGGGAATCTATGAGAGCGCCAGTGAAATAGATCTAACATAAGCTGCAGCTCGTATCTAGCCGTCTCTATTTCCTAGGCCATACTCCTAATGCAGGCTTTCTTAGTATTGCACTGACACCACGGAAGGAGAATATGGTGCGATTGGGGGCCGAAATTTATATAGTTGGGGTATAAGATAGCGAAAACAGCAGTCAATATGGTGTGCGGTGGTTCTGATGAACCTCACATTTAAGACTCCAGACTATACATCCCTTAGAAGGTAATAGACAAAAAATATAGATCTTATAGTTCGTATTAATAGTATTGGCCATGGAATCCATTCTCGAGATACAATTTCCTATATGAGGTAAGCACTAAGCCTGCAACATGGCCTTGAAAGGTATCTTGGCTTTGTTCTCTTCAAAAGACGCCTTGTGCCCCTTTCCGAAAGAAATAATTAATTAAATTTTGAGAACTAGACGATGGAGGTGAGAAAGAAGAGTACTCTCGAGCACCGTCGTGCGCAGAATCGGTTGGCTCAGCGCAGGTTCCGTCGTAAGTAGCCAGTTGATTTCTCCCGTCCCCTGTGTACTGATCACTGCCCCAGAACGTCAGAGCCAGCAGAAGGCCAATGCAGATCAACCTCAGCAGACGCAGACCCTAGAGCCACCCATAGCGACGACCGATGACCCATCTGATATTTTCAATTTCTCGTCTCGAACCAGATCGACACACAGCCCTGTCAAATCCCCGCCCGGGTTTGGCGTCAACTGCCTACAAGGCGGCGCCAATGGACTGATCGGCATCCAAAATTTCATAAGCATGGACGACTTAATGAATTCATCCCTGTCAAGTCTCCTTGCAGACCCGTCACCAGGAATATCTAACACCGATTCCGCTAAGCATACCCTCTTCGGTAGCGATCGAGACTCCATCCACAAGCATCCAGGCTCCCTAGCAAGCACAGTCGGAAGCAGCAGCACTCACAGAACAACATCAGATATTTTCGACACAAACTTCCTATCGAAACCGCTAATAGATGACTCAACACCCGCCAGTGCTAGGAGTGTCAGCACACTCCCTCCCGGGACAGCAAAAGCCCACGACGCAGACTCAGGCTGGCTGTCTGCACTTCATATAGCCGCACAGAAGGGACACCATCGGATCATGCGCGTGCTCCTCCAGCAGAATATCGACTGCGATGAGATGGACAGCGACGGCTTACGCCCTTAATCCACGCGACGATTGGCGGCCACGAAGACGTCATCACACTGCTGCTCATGCATGGGGCGCGAATAGACAAGGTCGATCGCCAGGACCAATCGGTGCTGCATTTCGCGGTAATTCATCGTCGCGAGGCGATATTGAAGATTCTGTTGAATTATTGCGTGGGCCACCAGGGGCTCATTGATGCTTATGATAGTGGCGGACGCACGCCGCTGCATATTGCGGTCGATACTGGGTTCGAGGCGGGCGTGCAGGTTCTCGTGCAGCGTGGAGCTAGTGTGCATTATAGGACTAGGAAGACGGTTCCAGTTCCATAAGGTGAGATATATACTTGGATACAGGTTGAGTCAGATACACCATGGCTTGGGTGCTTCTTCTATGTTAGAACACATTGCTTACGGATTTTGGGCCGAATTGAAGTACCTTATGGGATGATTTGTATATGATATCTAGAGTCAGGCTAGCGATCATCAACAATAGCAGTTCAAAATGGACCAACAAATCCCTCTCCGTCAATATCCTCATGCTCCAGCTTCAACCTTCATAATCTTCTCCACGACGTCCAGTCCTGTCAACTTCCTCAGCATCGAATCAAACATTCCAAATGGCAGAACACTAATCAGTCTCGCAACCCAAGCCTGCTCTCCCCTCCAGATAACTGGGGGCGGCTTCTGCTTCAGCAAATCACCTACCACAGCCGTGGCCCACTGCAGAGTTGGCATCCCCCCCTCAGCAAAGGCATCCTGACTCAACGCTTTCTCCACCACCTCGCGTGCGGGATAATAGATCGACTTCTCCGGAAGAGTTGGTGGCTTTGCTTCCTTTTGATTCTTGATCAGGTTGGAGCGCACCACGCCAGTCTTCAAGTCGACAACATTGATCCCCAAGACGCTCAGCTCGAGTCGCAGAGTGTCAGACAGCATGGCAATAGCGGCCTTGGATGCCGTGTACACGCCCTGGAATGGAAGTACGGCGACAGAGCCCACAGAGGACTGGTTGACGATCAAACCGCCATAGGGACTCTTCAACAGCAAATGCAAAAACGCCTGCGTCACCTCGATGTAACTCCAAACGTTCAGTTTGATTCTTATTTTTTCAACTTCCATCCGATATACTACTTAGATGCCCGCTAACACCCGATTTGGTCTAGACGCGGATATCTTGATTACCCGGCGGACTAACTTGACAAGACTTTTATATTCGATGCAGAATGGAGCAAGTTGAACAGCACAATCGGCCGCCGACTGATTCGGGGTACCCTAGGATAACGAGGCCGGCTATCTCATCAGCGTGTTCAGTAGTCTTGGACGCTGTGATAGTCGACACACGGCCTACATACCTACATATGCACTTACAGACCTCAGGAAGTAGATCATTTCCCACTAGGCAAGGACCGACGGCGCGGCGGCGCGGCCCGCTCAACCAATCATAGCTAAGCTATAATCACGTGCTAGCCCCATTGCACCCCCACTTTAAACTTTAATCATAAATACTTTCTAGTACTTGTCATCTTCACATCTCACCTGGCATCAATTATCACCATCATGTCATCACCCGAATTTCTCACCCGTCTCGAGGGACGGTCACCCTCATCCCGTCACCAGAATCGCCGTTGCATGCTGGCCCTAAGACATGGGAAATTGCTAGCAAGGTACACGAGCGCGTTAATATTGTGAACCAGCAAGATGTCAGCAATGGCCTTGGCCCATACGTGGCTGGGAAGTTTATGTGTCACCCTGCTGGCCCTAACAGCCCAGATATACTCGCATTTATGCGAATGTATAAGCAGCTACCTATTGCGGGCACACAATTTGAGAAGGCTCCAATCCGGGCCACGCAGGCCGTCAAGTTGTATGAGCCTGCAGAACTAACCGCTCTCAAATCCCTTGAAGAGAAGGGTTGCGATGTTACCCCTCCGCTCCTTGCATATCAGTTTAACCAACAAGAGGAAGACGATATCGTTCCCGGGGGTTCGTCACGTGTGTCATGTTGGAAAAGGTGCCTAGCGAGTTCCTTAACAGGGAAGGGTTCTGGGGTTTCTCGATTTCCCAGCGAGAGGAGATCCGACTGAAGTTTCGCGAGGTCTACCAGTATGTTCTTGGGGTACCTTAATTTTGATAACGGACCTAGAGCTAACAAACGAGAATCAGGAAGCTTGAAGCGTGCGGGTACTGCCCATGTCCTGGGATGTGAAAGACCGTATACGACCCGCCCACCCAAGCAATATATGTCCTATACTATCATTGGATACAAATGAGCTAATACTTGTTAGGCACATGTCCAGATTCTACTGCCCGATTCCTACCCCCAAAGGCACCCAGTGGTCGGATCGTACCTACGTCAATTATAGTCTCGTTCGGCCACGTGCGGTAATGGACTAGGTCTTTCCTATCATCAGCGCTGATTTGAAGTATGACGATGAGGGCTGGGAGTGGTAGGAGGACGTCCGGATTGCACTACACGAAGCAGTAAGGAGACGAGCTACCGACTTCAATGCCACGACTTACTTAGACATGACTGAGAAGGCCATCGCAAGGCTCATTGCAATCATTCCATACTTGGCGCAATTAACGAGTGGTTATTAACTAGATTCGCAGGCTGTTCGGCGAGCTCTTTGTCCTGATCAACGCAGGATATCTAAACGACATCACTCCTATCACCACTTTCCCATTCGATAATGTCATTGGGGCTCTATCGCACATCCGAACTGGATGTCATATTGGCAAGATCGTCATCTCCCTTGGTGAAAATGACGACGTGCAAAAATAGCTGATAAGGTGGTTTCAAAGTTGCCTCTGCTTCAGAGCAAGAGATGGAGTGACAGTTACCCCAAATACGGGCGATTAAGTGTGCCACCTGGACATAACTCTCTTATTGGCTGCCTGACCAGAAGCTATCACCGCCTTCTCGGAGTATATATGCCATTTCCATTTGTATTTGTATACTAAGAAAAGGGGTACCTAAGAAGTTAAGGCCCGAGAAGCCAAGGAAGGGCAGGGTGCTAGGGCAGCCTAGATTATATAGTACACTATTTTAACATTGTGAACTATGTAGGCTTCATACTACTTCTTATCTGTAGTATAGAATTACTATAGAGTATATAACCATAAGGTATCAATTAAATACACTTAGAGTATACATATAGTAAATAAGTTAATAGAATTTTGACTAGAGACTTTATTTACTCCTAACCCTAGAAAGTCAGGACTAAATTACTGGCAATATAATCCAATGAAAGAGTTGTGTCCAGGTGGCACCCTTAGTCCCCCGTACCCAGGTAGCTTAGTGCTTAAATTTAGAGGAATACGATGAAAGCTGTTCTCATGCAAACTACCAATAGGGGGAGAAAAGCAAATATGTTTCAGCTTATGCATGTGCCTTGATCGTCGTAACTTAATGAAATCGAATAGATCGTATATTCAACCTGCATGATTTGTCGAACCCGGCCCCCATTCCGGCCGTTCTGGTACTTTTGTTCTTTAATAGACCTGTCACAGTCCATTTTTTAAAAAATTCTTTTTTCTCTTCTTTTCTTTTTTTCTTTTTTTTTTCTCCGGCCCACTGTCCCCGCTGCGGCTACAGCGGCCAGGAACTGTTTTCAGCACGTTGAAACCCACTACTTCGATCGGGGAAGACGAACCGTCTTCCGGCAGAAGTACTATACAGATGGGCAATGGTCTAGCCAAAGTACATAACGGTCTATATCGATATCGACATGTGTGGAATTGGCAAAGTGTGTGAGGTGCACGGTGCTTACGGAGTAGAGAAGGAGGAAACTTGCTAGTCTTTGCGCTTTGTGATACGTTGAACTTGTATGATGTGCCTGTTTCTCAGGGTGAAATCTAGCATGGGGCATATCAAAATTCTAATATTGTTTACTTTGGTCACTTTGACTGGACTACGTAGTACTGCTATGAATCATGATGGAATATAGAGGCTTCCTATCAAGTTGCTAGTTATACCTTGTTGCCCTAATCTCGTTTTACATGTCATAATGTCACTGCCACCGGACCAGGTCCGTGTGTCTTGCTTTGAAATCCCCCATTCACACATCTAAACCCGATTCAATTTCAGCTAAGCACGGCTCTGATGGGTTGTAGTCAAGCTTACTTACCTTCAAATCCATACGATTCACGCCTATAGGGCTGCTGTACATCAAGCCCATAGGATCTTTTCCAAGTAGGGATGTTGATCATGTTTTCCTAGAGAGGTTAGAAAATACTGTCAAGGTATACAGTACACTTGAACTTCTTACTTGTGTACTTGTCAAGTTTGCGGTATGCCGCCATTTTCCACGGGTTCCCAAATAGAGGACAACCAAGGCCAGAGGAAAGAGGACGAGGACAATGAGGGAACTCATATTCTCACGAAGAATGTCTATGCGTAGTGAAATTTGGCGAAGAAAAGCGAACTTATGGCTCGATCGATGTGGATATCCATTCTTCTTTAAATATACCAACTCGCACAGGGTTATGTGGAAATCACCTCAAGTAACAAGCCCTAAAGACCCTTGTCTACTACCAATCTTGGACATGCACAATCACAATATCCTTCGAGCGCCGCGAACCCAGGAAACCGGAGAATAAACGCCGATAAGTCAACTCGTGGCCTGAGCGCTTGAGCATCACCCTGGGGGCCCAGCTATGATCCGTGTAGCGAGACTGGCATATCCAAAGGGCATGCAGTAGCTTGGGTTTAGGGACCCCATCCAGGATCCCCGTTCCCACTATTTGTAGATCTCAGATATATTTAATTCTTTCTTGGGAAATTTGATTCGTTTTATTTTTATTTTATTTCAATTTCTATTAATTCATCAATTTCAAGTCGGGGCATTCGGACAACCTTACTATCAGTTCCATATACCCTTAAGGGATCAGATCCCTAAATCACTTCCTATTGGTATACGAGGCAATGGTCGGCTTAGAGCAATATCAGATGTAAATCATAGTGAACGCAACCCTATCAACACAAGTACACTTGTCTAACTTGGTAGATATCCGGCACGCAAACACTCGTTAGGAAGACGGGCTGAGGATAAGGGTATTTGCAAGCCACGATGAGAAAATTAGAATATTACCAGTAAAAAGGCAGAACGAAAAAGATACCAAATGATCAAAATACCAGATTGCACTACACACTTAAGAACTCTTTTCTCTATGGCCGTCCTGCACAGATCTAGGCACCAACCCGCGAATCCCAAGTGAGAGCTGTTCGCTAGGACTTCACCTTTGTTTTTTTTTTTTTTTTTTGTTTTTTTTTTAAAGCTAATGCACCAATCCGCTTTTACCGACAACGCGGACGGTGGAAAGGTTCCCGGTGCCTCGGGCTTGCCATGCATAGGGGCACACCCGGGTGTTTTGTGGCGTTGATGCCGGGGTTTAGATATTTGTTGTATTTCGCTATTGGTCCGGGATTCACCCTCGGGGAGCAGGAGAAGGCCCTAGACGTCCTGCTTGCTTTTTTTGTACCGATTTGTTGGTATATAGCCTAAGGAATAGGATTTCCTAATCCTTGTTCGTACTTTTGTATCGAACATGATGTCAATTCCTAGTGCCGGGAGCTAGTTGGCGCTGATAATGCGTTTCATTCTTGGTACTAGTGTGATTGATGCCTAATGGGGATTCAGCGCATAGGCAATGGTGTTCCTAAATTCCAACATGCTCCAGGTTTGTCTTAGGATAACAAAAATAAAATATGCTAATATGAAAGAATGTATCAAAATCCAGTCAACCCATGTATTTTCCCCGCTAGGATCCTGTGGATCCATTTGCTTTGACTCCGGAGCGCCTGCCATACTTCCCTGCCGTAGTAACCCATATCATGACGTAGCGGGCCATAGGTGAAGATAAAATAAAAAAAGAAATTTCGACGAAATGGGAACGCTTGCAGTTGGAAATTGCGCGGTAATGCACCCTCGAGGGCCAAAAAGACAAATCAGATCATGTTCATTACTGCGTTGGTGGGCGAGGCCCAGAAGAAGGGCCAGAGGAGTCAGCATCCGAGACTCGGGGCCGTTTTGGGTCATTTGGACCGGTTGTCGGGACGTATGCGCCAGGTGTAGCATCGGCATTGGTGACGTCCCCCAATGGAGGTCGCTTTCCGTTGAGATTCTGCTGGGGTGGCATGCTGCCTCGGCTTACCGCCACTGGGTTGGAAACGTTCCTTTGATCGAGGTTGGGCCGGGTCAATGGTCGATACGATGAGACAGAAGGACCTCTGCTGACCGGACTGCCAACTCCACCGCCAGGAGCACCCACTCTGCGCTGCAGATCCGATGCAGGATTGACAAAATCGCGTGTGCTGTTGTTATTGATGGGTGGTGCTGGAGAGGGTGCCGGGGAGGCACTCGACAGCATCGGCCTAGCGATAGGAATGCTTTTGGTATGGTCTACACCAGCAGTCTTGCGGATAGAGGGACTCTCTGCGTGTGGATCGAATTGAGGTGCTCCCGGCGGGATGGAATTTGGGTTTTCACGGAGGAGATCTACTGCTCTGGCTGAAAAGAAACCGGTTGACGGTGTACCTTGCGGTGGGTTCATGTCCTGGTTCCCCTGAAATCCCCCGGGGCCAGAGTCCCTTTTGATCGGAGGCTGGGCGATGTTGTTTTGTAGAGCATTCTGACCAATTTTTTGCTGGGGTGGAACTGATGGTCTGGGGTTTGCAGGATTTTGACCAGGAGCTTGAGCGCCCATTGGTCGACCTTGGACAGCAGCTGGAGACGGGATAGCCGATGGGTTCTGTCTCGCATTTAGGGGGTCAGGTCGTCCCGCTTGGCCTGAGCCGTTCCATCGCTCTGGTTTTGATGGTGTCACGACAGCGGGGTTAAATCCTGCTCGAACAGGCGGTCCTCGCTGAGGCACTGGGCCGTTCATTGGCACAGGTCGTTGCTGTTCTCTGTGGGTTTCCGTGTCTACTACGATCTCATCTGGATTGCCTGTATCAGTCTCAGCTACCCCGAAATCGGCTTCATCAAATAGATCACCTGGAAACCATTAGCCAAGGTACAAGGTTGTGTTTTCTTCTAACACATACTGCCAAACTCCCCATCCCCCTCAAAAGAAGCGTTATTCGCGGGATTATTGCCTCTCGCTTGATGTATAGGACGAGGAAGGGGTAGGTCATCCTCTTCTGGTACACGTTTGGGGAGAGCCATCTGTTTCTTAGGTGGCGCGAAGTCAGGGTGACGGTGAAGATCTTCAACGTCCCATCTTCCCTATTCATACAGTCAGCATGGCACATGGTAAATTGGAGGACATTGGGGACCATACAGGTGCTGCCTTGACTTTGGTCACCTTGGCCACATAATCCTTGTCATAGATACAGTTACCCAGGACGTTGCCAAAGTTCCTCAATGCACGTTTCAAAGCATCTGTTGTGCCTTCTTTCTTGGCCTTTTCAAACGCTGCGGCTTTGCCCTTGCAGTTTTCAATATGCCCGTAGCCAATATCCTAGAAGAGATCTGAAGTCAACATCACACCCCACCAAAAATCCATACGTCGAAGGGATTTCTTTACCTCATGAAACGTTCCATCCCTCAAGGTGACTCTCATAATGACTGAAAGCCCCAGGCTGATCTTGCCTGTGTTTTGATTCTCTTCGACCTGATAAGCGTTAGTCAATCCTCATGTAGCTGATAAACGTATGATCGACACACAAAATCAAGCTGAATCGTCTGGATTGAGCTGGACCAGCCATTAAATCCAAATACCTCATTTGCAAGGTTAATGCACTTATCTGCGGAGAGGTAATGGACTTTTTGCCCCGCAGCA